TCATCGGGGTTTAAATTTTACATTGTCGATACTCTTGCTCTTCGACTTATCATTATTTAACCGATTTATCGCAACTATATTATATTATTATGGGGAGGTGAGTGGGGTGGGGAGGATCCCGAAAGAAAAAAAAGGGATCAAGATTAAGGATGGAAGAGAGGAATAGAAGGACTATGAAACGCGTAAGGAGAGATTTCTGATGGGATGCTGCTGTTGCTGCTGCTTCTGTTGCTCTTGGGATTCATATTTGGATTTAAATTTGTATTTGTATTTGCATAGTATTTTAGTATAGGTATTCCAAGTCGTATTGGTATTGTTCAGTATATTCCTATAAAGTTAGATGCAATATTATTAGCAATAGATCATTGCTATTGTTAATGTGTTAGTATTATTGGGATTGGTATAGATATAATATTGGTAACTTCGCTATTGGTATTATTATTGGTGTATGTTAATAGGTATAGATATAATATTAATGTTAGCTTTGTTATTGATATAGTAAAGGTCCTAGTATTACTATTGGTATTAGTAAAAGCATAGTACTACTACTACTAATATTGGTATTGGTATATGTTTAAGGTGTTGTACATTACTGTTAGCATTGGTACTGTTAGTGTTGGTATTCCTATATTATATTATTATACAAGGAACAAAGTGTGATATTGCCAAAATTTTCTTATATATTTAAACGAGAGTTTGTTATAGCTTTATGTAATCGGATGATTGGTCGTTATTGCAGTAACACTGTGAGCTGTTCTTAGAGTATATGTATTTCGATGATCACCTTCATACAACAGATTGGAGAATAGCTTTTACACTGACATGTATTGCTTCTGCTGTATCTTGGATCATTGTCTTTTACATTTATGGATATGCAGATAATCATTCATTCCTTTAACTTATTATATTTTCTACCCGTCTATAGAGAAATGAGAAAAGGAGAGAAAGGAAAAGTGAGGGACAATATGTGAATCGATTTGCAAAGGTCTAATTGAGGAATTACTTTCTTGGAAAGGCTGAACACTTCTCAGCAAAATAACTAACAGCGATCACCTTTGCCACTATATCTTTATACTATCCCGAGCTAAAAGTGTGCACATTACCGGCAATTTTACGTCCATGAGCGGGATAAGCATGTGCGATCTTCTGCTATAATGTTATTAAAGATAACGAACGAACACTTGATATTATTATACATATTCTACTTGACGGTTGAACAAAGTAGAAACGAAATAATAACTCGTTAACCATTATAAAAGTTTTTGACGAATGATTTTTCATATATACGCTTTCTTTGGAAATTTGTCATTTACAATACAATGGCCTTTTCCTTACTCTGAAGTCTCTTTATTGAGGTGCCTTTCATAATACTAAATCGAATATTTCTATCCCGCAAGACACAGAAATCTTCTTTTCCTTTGAAACATGATCACGCTAAAAAGGAAAGATATCGTTCTTCGATGGGCTCGAAAGAAAGAAGGAGATTTGTAAAACGGTTAATGATCCTTCCTGGTTAAGGGCTACAGAGATTTATGGCAACGTTACAAGTAACGAGAAGATTTTCAAAATTGCTGACACGTCTGCCGATAATTATACCATCAACGAAGAAGAAAAAGTTTATATCGACCGAAGGGAAGACTAACAATGACAATTGCAACAATTGCAACAATTGCGTTTACGTTATTAATTCCTTCGAAGTAGATAATAATAGAAATTCATTAGTTAAATCAGATTTGGAGGAAGGACGAACTTGGACGAAACGGAAATGATCTCTCGCAATTATACACAAGTATACAAATTTATAGCAGCTGGCGACTTCAATGCCAAGCATCCAAATTGGGGATCAAAAATAACTTTACTACGAGTTAAAACACTAGATTCATAGATAACCAACATAAATCTAGAAATCCTCACGACAGGCGAACCAACCTACCGGCCCTCAGCTTATAATAAAACTCCTGATTTATATATTAACGATATTAAATATCTAACCTTTGATTCAAAGTCATCAAAACATACTTTATAGTAATCTATATTTAGTATACATTACGTATTATTAATATATAAGTCTCAAAGGGAATTAAAGACGGTTAATAAATCTGATGAACAATTTATTTTGAACTAGTTGTATATGTATTGTATTGTAAATCATATATGATTAAGTGTGATAAGATAAGGTGTTTTAAGATTAAATTGTATTGTAATATGTTAAGTTTTATTGAAATGTATGACTCTGTAAAAAAGATAATATGTATTGACGCGTGAACTAAATGATCAAGTTACTGATGAAGTCCCCAGTAAGGGACGAAACGTACAACTAGTTCAAAATAAATTGTTCATCAGATTTATTAACCGTCTTTAATTCCCTTTGAGACTTATACATTAATATATTTTTTGGACAAGAATATTGATAATTAAATTACGTATTATCACTCTTGAAAATTATTATGATACATTAAAGTGTTAAAGACAGATGATATATCAAAGAATTTAGCAAAGATATTTATTGTTAGCACGAAATATACGTAAATAAGATAAATAACTACATATAATTTCTAATTAGACTATAAAAATTAGAAAATCAAAGATATGCGATGATAAATGACAAATAAACGCTTCCGAGTTCAAAAGTTATTAACGTAAATAAGATTTCGATCCAAATAATTCAACGTAAATAAATTTGAAACATTAAGCTGTAACTAAGCAGCTCAGTAACATAATATGAATGAAAAACTTACTTGTAATTACTGCTAATAACTTTAGGACAGATAGACTTCCTTCTAGCCTGTTGAAACCGTTGAGAAACAATGAGGAATGAATACGGTTAAACACTTCTCAAAAGTCCCATTGCCTAGCCCTACCAACAGACTCGCTCAACCCCGCCCATCAAAAGTGCTCCGCCAATAGCATAAGAGTTACTCTGCAACGTGACCAATAGCAAGATGTACCGCAAATATCAGCGCAAACAATGGTAGGAAAACGAATAACAGGAGACCACGTCTTTTGACTTTCTAAGAAATAGATTGGTGGGAGTTCAAGAAAAAATATATAACAATTAAATTTAAATTAATAATAAAATAAGAAATTTCTTTTCATAATTCAGGAGGTAAATGCGTCAACATTTTTTTATTAGCCAATTCGTAATCAATATACCAGAAAATATTAATTAAATAAGTTTTAAAAAAATACAAAGTGAGGAGTTTTTTTATATATACTTATTAATAAATTCAATTAATTATGTATATTTCTAATTTCGTTACACCGTGTTTATGTAACTATTATCAAATTTTTTTTCTCAGAATATTTGCTATAAGAAGTTAGTTTGATGAAGGAAATAACAAAGGCAAGACAATTGGAACAATAACAATATATTCCTAACAAAGAAATTTTTTCTTCCTTCGGTTTAAGGTCTAGCGCGTGTTTTTTTCTTATTATATACGAAATTTTTTTCTTGTGATTATTATAATATAATATTATATATATATTCTATTATTCGTTTCACATACTGATTCGAATATTTAACGTTAGAAACTTTTATATTATCGAAATAATTTCTATCGCTTAGATGATATGAATTGTGTAAACTATATGTATTACTAACAAGGGCAAATATGTTTAACTTTCTTTTCTTTCTTTTACTTTTTTTTCTTATTTCTGTTTTTCGTTATTGTGAAGTAAGTTTAATAAATTTTCTTTTTTTAATTTTTTCTAGAGTATTTTACAATAATTTGATAGGAAATATAATTATAAAATACTTTAGAAAAAAAGATAAGTAAAGAAAATTTATTTAAGCTTACTTCAAAATAACGAAAAAAAAAATACATATATATCCCGCAAGATATAAATTCAATGTGTTTACAGCAAGAGATAACAATCAGGTGCGACAAAAAAAAAACAATTTCCTTCTACGACGAAAAGACAAACGCGTTGTTATGTTTGATTCTATTTATAGGTATTTGTAGTTTCTTTTGAATTTCTTTCGTAATTTTTTTTATAGTTTCTTATTTTAATTTCTTTACTAGCTAATAGAATTTATATAGAATATCTATATATTTGTAGTTTCTTTTAAATTGAAACTTTTAATGTTTAATAAAACTTCCTTAGTCAATATAAGGTGTTATAAGAAATGTTAAAAAAAACCATTCAATACTTATACAGTTCATAAATCTAATTTATGTACGTATTGGAATATTCTATCTTAGAAACATTTTAAATACATATATATTTAATTACTTTCTTTACAGAGAAGAGGAGAGAGAGAGAAATTTTGAAATATATTATTTATTCTATTCAAAAAAATGTTATCAATTTTTGTATAATTTTTCTGTCTTAGATAACTATTAAACATTTAAATAGTTCATCTATCTATTGAAATATACAAAAATTAAATTTCTAATTTATATACTGATTTATGACGTATGGTTTTTTTTACAAATATCACCATATAATACCAAAGAATACAGAGATACATAGAAGCTCACAAGTCCACTGTTTTTCTTGTCAGATTTATCTTAGTTTCTAACCTGATCACTAGTGGGAGATAGTAAGTACTTAACGCGATGACGGTATTCGTTGTACAATCTATCAAAGAATACTATATTCTACCTCTATCGCCCACTGGTGGTCCCAGTAGTAACAAAGATTAATCTGGGTAGATTAGTAAGAGGACTTGTGAGTTTCTATGTACTTCTCTGTATTTTTTAATATCTCACAACAGTGTAAATTTATAAACGCACGAAATAAGAGGTTATGGATGAATTGGAACCTAAAGTTTTATATTTTTGATCTTTAAATAGAATTAATATTTATTGTATTTTAATTTCATCATGGAAAACGTGCTACCATTAGGTGAACTACCGTAAGTATTACTTCTTACATATTTCTTCAAATTTTTATTAATTTTTGTATAAAATATATAACACAATTATATTTCTTTTGTTATTAATAATACTGCTATCAAACTATTAATTTTTCTAATTTCTTAGTTTATAACTATTAAACAAGTTTTATTTTAAATTTGAATATTTATTTATGATTATTAATGTAAACTTTGAATTTTGCTAAAATATATATAGCTACTGTAAGGGATTATGGTCTGTAATATCTGGAACTACTTGTCGTTGTGATAAAGAACTTGTAGAAGATGAATTTATAAATGGAACGAAATTACTCAAAGAAGGTTTACAATTTTTCCAAATGTATACAGAGTCCTCGCTTCAAAATATTTCTAAACAAAATCCTCCCCCCCGGATGTATGATTTAATTAGTAAACTTGCTCCATTAATTGTAAGTACTTATTTACATTGATTAAAAAATATTTAAACGAGTTAAATATAAAAACAACACAATTTTATATTATTAGAATCTGGATGCAATGATTACCTGGGATTTAGTTTGCAATTTCATGCTATATGAATATCGTAACTGTGCGGAAACTTTTGCTTCTCAACTCACAGATCTAAGTACTATGAAAGTTTTAATTGATGATATTTGGAGCTTTTATTATTCTGAAAGAGTAACACTGATCAAATGTTTAAAATTGATAGTTGAATATAAAAATAATAAAAGACATCCAAATCAGAAAGAATTTATAAAATTCTTTGATGTAGTTTTACTAGGTGAACTTCTGACTTCTGTACAAAAGCAAGTAGAATCATTAAAGTTTATTAATGCTCCAGTAAGATCTCAATTATGTACAGAAGAACATTTGCATAAATTATATAACAGTACCCTTATTGAAATGAGAGAACTACTTCACATATTAACTGTAATTGTACATGACATTCATATACCTGCAAAGGATTTTAATAAATTTTATGGAAGCATTGGGGTAAGAACATTATATTATTATGTATTACTTAGAAATTACATATTTTTTAATGTAACCTTTATACTCATTTAAAGGGTGTCCCACGTAGATTGATTCATTCAAAAAGTCATGAAGATAAGGCAGCAGTAGATAAAAAAATTCAAGAAATACAGTATAGTCAAGCAGCTCTACTCCTTGTTGCATTGGATGTTAGAAAACAGTAGATATTTTACTCATACAATCGGCTAACTACATTAATTACGATTAAATTGGACTAATACGTATCTTTTTATTTTAGTCCTGAAATGGAATTTTGGATAAACAGTGTTCGAGATAGTATGCAAGATATTTTTGAACATAAATGCATTCGTGACAGTTCCATACAAGATAGTTCATTACTTTTGTCATGGATGTTATCAAATTATGCTATAGATCCAGAGAATGTTGATCTATTAAATCAATTTAAACCCTTTGGTATCAAAGCTATTCAACTTGACGTCTTCCATTATCTTCAAAGTTTGATGTTAAGTGAAATGATTCAGGAAGAGACCTATTATGCTACAATTGTACGCAGTAGTGTGTACAATCTTCTCACATTGGTCTGTGCTTTTATCGATGAAGATCGATTATGTGCATTAAATGGCATTTTTGATGCTGTTGCTTCTACAGTCAAATTTCCAGAAACTGCAACTAGATTTTGGGATGAACGCAATGATGGTATATGGGTTATATATAATGTTGCTACTAAATGGTTTCCTTATAAATTTGAACCTCTTACAAACATTGCAACTGGACTTGCAATTGCTTCAATTAATAGCGCAAAAAAGGTAAAGTATATTATAATACAAATTAATATTAAATAAAATAATTGATAAAATGAAAACAACTTGTTTCAGATTGTAAAAGAATTAGATATGTTAACATCATTAACTTTAGAAGTTCCTCGACAGCGAGATCAAAATAAACCAATAAGACCATATGAACGAGAATGTACGATACATAAAAATCTATTTTCTATTAAACCAGGATGTTTACGAGAAAATGTTCTTGTACTATCCAGTGATAACGAAGTAGTATTATTCAAAACAAGAGCTAGTTATTGGGATGCATTACATCACAGAATAGAACAATTATTTTCACAAGCAGGTGGTGGGATAGCAAATATTTGTAATATGCAAACTAGTCTATTGGATAATGTTACTCAAGGATTAAAACTGTTGGAATCTTTACTTGCTAAAGATATAGATATACCACAAAATATGGTTATACCAACAGAACTATGTTTTGAAATTATTAACAGATTTTCTTATCCAGTTCTACCTCCAAACATTTATCGAATCGTTACCGCATGCATAAGTATCTCGTCTAAGCTGGTATTAAGATATCCTGAAGATATTCTATCTCGAATGCATGCAGGAGTTTATCCAAAATTTAACGATTGGTATCAAAACCCTTCAGACTTTGCTGAAGCAATTTCTTTCGATGGTGGTTTAATTGCCTCTTGGCTATCCTGTATAGAAACCATAGAACATTCTTACCCAATTCTCTGTGCATATCTTGATACCTTATCTAGTTATATAATAACAAAGCACAATAAAGAAGCTATGTATATGATCGAAATACCAGGGATAGTATTTCTTTTACAAGGTGTCTTACCAAAACTGGATTCATGGTATTTTAAAAATGATGCTGAAAGATTGGAAATTTGTCTAAAGAGTATGTTCTGTCTTCACCGTGTACTTGATTCGAATTTATCTGATGACGATATAAGAAAAAAATTACAATTAACTGTTACATATAGTCTTCTCTATTTAGAGCCTAGACATGCACTACTGAAATTAGTGCGTACAGGAGAGCGCAACCTGCATAATAAAATGATCACGGAAACGGATTGGATAAGCGGTAAAGGATTCAAAGCCATAAAAAGTGTACAGTTGGCATTATCGATAGTAAATCGATTATTGATGTTTAGACAATCTTTTGGTTTAGAATACAATGACAGATCTCCATTGGAGATTGCTTTATATTCTTCACCACGAGTACCAAATAGTCTTTTAATAGTACCAACTATAGTTAATTATCTATATGTGTGGTTTAGTCCTTCGTTGCAAGCAATGGCTGTCAGACTTTTAACGAAATTTGCAGAAGGATTCTCTATGTCACTGCTAGTTTGTATGGGCATGGATGGTACAGCAATAAGGGAAACTTTTGCTTCTCGATTAATGTCACCGACGTGTGCGGTAGAAGTCAAAGTTGCCATTCTCGAATTGGTTGCTGTTTGTTTGGAAAAACAACCTGGCTTGACTGAAGCTCTATTTAACATAATGCATCAAGCAGAACGTAAAAGAATATTTCCACGACCAGTCGACGAATTTCTCACAGAGGGTTGCAGTCAATTTCTAGATCTTTATTTACGTCGAATATATAAAGAAGAGGATATCGTTTATGATAGACTATACGAAAGTACGATGATTCTATTGCGTGCAATGTGGTATCATCGCAACGAAATTCTTGTAAATTTCTTCCGTAAACGAGAAGAATTTTGGAGCCATCTCTTTGCTCCCCTTTTTAGAGAAATAGTACCAGTAGCTAAAGGCTATTCACAGCTTTTAGATATTATTACATTAGAATTGTTCAAGAGCCCGTTATTGGAAAATAATTTTTCTATGAATTTGAAAAAGTTATTGGATAAAACTAAGGACCACTGGCAAAGATTATCGAATTATGTATTGAGGATAATGCCAATCGAGGAAAATATGGATACAAAAAAAGATCAAAAGCACGATGCTAATAATTTAAAAAGTTTATATGAAAAGAACTTAGAATCATGGTACAATTTTATCGTTACTCTTACAGACGAACGAAATGCAAAGAATTATCCTATCAATATTTCACAAGCACAACTCATAACGCAACTCTCTTTAGATGCTTTACTTGAACAATTAAAACAACTAAATGATACTGGTATCGCAAAAAGAGCTATGCTTTTAGCTTCACTATCATTGCGATGTATTACTTCATGGAAGCATATGTGTGTAGGTGACTCACAAATTTTTAAAAACAAACTAATGAAACTTACCCAAGAGATTGGTCAAGAATACCGAGGATATGGAAAATCTCTACGTCAAACATTGATTTCTTTGTTACTTGGTTGTGTGCAACTAATAAAAAGCACTCTTGCAGAGGACACAATTAGTCTTGAATATTTGTTAAACTATTCATGTATAATTGCTACTAATGAATTGGAAGAGCTACGAGAATCAGCTATTCAATTATTTAAACAAAAACAGGCATTTCCACAAGATACTAGCAAAAAAGAAATATCATTGATAGATACGAGTACTGTGAAAGGTGCTGAAGAAATGAATATAGAAACTGTCCAAAGTACCCGCAAGAGTTTGCCAGCAACATTAACAATCTGTCTGGTGACTCAACTTCTACGTTCTTACGTAGAACGTAGTCATTCAACTAAACGTCGTCGAAAAGCTAGTTGTGCTCAGCTTCGTCAAATGATACCTGAGCTGATAACATGTGTCTGCATTACTTTACAAAAGTATCCTTACCTCAAATTTAGTACAGCGGCATTGAATTTACTTAGCATAATAACACGTTCGCCTTATTGTCCAAAGTCAATAAACGAGAATGATACTGCTAAATTATGGCTAGCATTAATACCACCTGTAGATATCGGTAGCAGTATGCTTGATTACCTATATGATGACACTCCCAATGGTCAATGGCGATGTCAGGATTGGTGGCCAATTTATACTCTTGGATTAGAAATCATTATGGGCTTAGTAACAAGTGAAACTCCATCAATATATATAAAACCTATAGTGATATTTTTAAATTCTCATGAGTACCAACTCATGACAGTATCAACATTACTCAGACATACAGCTGATCTATTTGCTGCCGATTTAATCCAAAGTTTGGTTGCTCTCATTCATAGTATGGCAACTCAAGAATATATTTGGAACTCTATACCACCTAATATACGTGAAACACTGATCAAATGTATGTATCTTGCATATGACAGTACTGTAAACTTATTATTGCGACCGCGAATATTAAAATTTATAATTGATGGTATAAGCGTGGAGAGTGCAGAAGAGCTAAAGTCTTGTGATGAGAGATTACCAAGCGGTGAATTAAAATTACTTGTGAACAAATTGATAGTAATTAATACTACTTGTGCTTTGTGTTTCGTTTACTTCTCACCAAGATTGAATACTCTCGTCGATACCATATACACGCAAGATTTTTGGTATACACCAATGGCTGAAATGAACTTTGGTGCACCTCAAATGAGTATAAGTTCTGGTCCACGATTAACTTATGGTACAATTATTAGTTCCACGCAATTATTTACACAAGCCTTACATTCAAGAATACATACAACTAGCATATTGTCTGTATCTTCAACAAATCAACCTGGTAAAGAGGATAAAAGTGACTCTGCTAAAAGAGAATGGGAACGTGCTGCACCTGAAAATATTCGACGAATGCACACAAGCAAGGATTTAAGAAGAATCATACATGCTGCTTCAGGTTCAGCAACCTCAAGATCTGCATCAGCAAATATAGCTGCTGATTATCTTGGATATGTTAGCGGGCTTGATGTGACAGTACCGTTATTAAGCAGTCCACGTCTCGTTCGACGACCCTATGATCCTCTTATCTGCGAGAATACTATTCTCTCAAAAGCAACTGCTTTAGCAGCTGGAAGACACGTCGCTAAGGGCGGTAGTGGGACACCATCAGGTACTAATAATGATAGTCCAAGTGTAGCAAAAAATCATACAAATAAATTTAGTGATCCCTGGTTCGAATCGATGGACGAAAATAATACAAGATTAGCGCTCGAGATCAATCTTGTACTGATACTTTGTCAAGCTCTTGAAGGTGTTAGAAGTCCAAGATTAGCGCTACGAGATCGTCAACTGATAGCACGTGAAACAGCCACAGAATTAGTTATTTTCTTTGATTTTCTTGAACACCGTGGTACTCCTGACATTTGGCAAGTTAAGGGATCTCTTCTTGATGTTGATGCCAAGAGTGTGAGAACGATTCAAGATACTATGGATCCTATTCAAAAGATGTCAAATGCTAGACTTCGTGAAGATAGTACCATTAATAAAGTACCAGTAACTTTAGCGAATGCTGACGATGATTCCTTTAAAAATGAACAAGATGTTCTCGAAAAGAGACTCGATGAAAATATTTTAACTACTGGAACTTTCGCAGCAAATATCAGTAGTGTTCAATTTTTACCATTAATGGGAAAATTATTGAAATCTGTGGTAGAATCATTAGATTCAATGCATTACTAATCTCTACATATGATCCACATAAGAAGTAAAATATTTTCCAAAGTCAATGTTTTTTATAAGTACATACATATACAGATTGCTGAAAGACTGAAAAGAAAGAAACATTGTTTGTACAGTGATATTGTTATGATAAAATCATAAGAAATTAAATACATTTAATGAAAAAGAAGTAAAGGTATTTAACAAAAAGCAAAATAAATAAATATAATCCTGCTTGTTTATAATTACGTATATCATTTGTACTTTTTTTAAAGCTAAGATATCACGAAAAGAAATTATCTCATATTAATTTTAATAATAAAAATGTACATGTGTATGTGGATGTGTTCCAAACAGAAGACTTCTGCTCCTAAACAAACAGTATATATAATACAAATAAATAATGTAAAGATTTTATAAAAAAAGAAATAGAAACATTTTTGATATCGCGTGAACTATTATATCAATAGATAACATAAGAATCTATTTTAAAGGATATGTAAAAGGAAATACAATGGAATTTGAAATATTTTTGTTTAATCTGTTCATTGTAAACGTCTGACAAGATCTTATTTAGTCAGACCAAATTATCTTACAACGCGATTGCACTCTCGCGCGTTTCAGTGCCAGGTGAAAATAGACGTTCTGGTCAGGATAATAAACTTACAAATATACGCTTAAAGGTGCTGAACTTACATACTCATACTTGACTGTAATTTAATCTTGATCGTTCATTTCTAGAGATATTCCATAATGAAATATAGTTTCTGTTGTGAGAGAGGAATTATTAGTTCAAAATGTTGATCTATTTACGACAGCAACAACATAGAAAAGATAAAATATATAAATAGGTAGAAGCTATATAATTGTATCTCAATTCAACGGATTGTATTTATAAATCCATGCCGAACTGTTATTGAAGTAAAACTTCTTTTTGTTTATATAGTTCCTCGCACGAACTTCTATATCTCGCGAATGAATATCTTTCATGAAAGATATTTCGTATCTTTCTTTATATAATATGCGTCATCGTCTCACATTTCACCGGCTAACTCGCGCCAAGAACGATCGATAATCATATTACGATAGAGTATAAAAATATATTTCCTGATACTAACAAATATTACGTGTTTACGACAATAGTAATGGAGTGAGTGTCCGATCAATCCGAACACATAAAGACATCCGCCACCATTTTTGAAGAAAGCCCAAGGGTCGTGTTAGACGCTAAGGAGGCAAGTGCGGTAAAATATGCTCTGGTGATGGTGAATCGTTTGAATCATTACTTCTGGATGACGACGAGACTCGCTGATGATACAAATTATTTGAGGTTGTATTCGAGCCGGAACTAGGACTAGTTGTTATTGTGCTCATTGTACCGGTCGTCGTTAAAGCCATTGTGGTGATAGTTGTATTAACGCTTTTCGTCACCATAACAGAAGGAGTAGATTGAGATCGCGTTCCTGTATTAGACCACGTAAGCAAGTTCCCACAATTTGATTCGGATGACAAGCAATCGGATTGTCGCGATGCCGATGAACAATATGCAGATGTTAATAAAGTATTTGCGTTTGTTACTGTTGCTGACATAGAGGCTGTCAGTGGAGTCGGTGGTGGTGGTGGAGGTGGTGGCGGTGGAGGTGGTGTAACCGATTGGGACATCCGGAGCAGATCCGTGAAAGGTGCATCAGCAGCATTGCAGACCCATGGCTCTGTGGATTTCGAATCGTCATTGTTCGCTGCACCGGCATTGGACCTTTGCCGTTTCGCATCTCCGTACAGCAAACAGTGAACATTCGGTGAACTGCTACGATCGCGGACACCCTCTTGTTCCTCAAGAAATCGATCCATATAGTCCCTGCTTGCGATTTAATTATCCCGTCATACTTCTATATGTCATTATGCTCGACACAATGCACATATATGTTGATTCTCATTTTTATATTTTTATATGTTTAATATTTCAAACGTGAATTACTATAGAAAAGATACTCACGTGATACCTGGATGTAAAGCATATTTTTTCTTCTCTATACGAGCCTTATACGTAAATATATCGTGTCTCTCTGTCTTTTTCCATAAATAATAAAACTGTACTAATTCTCCGACAGATCTTGTTCTCACCTAAGAGAATTTTACTATTAATTTATACTATATTTTAATAGAATTTCAGTAATACGTTAGTTTGACTTAAAATTTTCCGAATTCCATACCTTATTCCTTTGAATAAGATGAAAATCTTTTCCATAACTTCTTAAACCAGACTCAAAATTATGACATTCTTCTTCTGACCATAAACTAACAGCATCTGTCGATGGAATAACATTCATTCTACGTCTTCGTAATGCTTCCTCTAGGTTGTAACCACATTGTAGTAACAGATATAAGGCTTGTTCATCGTCTCTGATGTGAGTACCTGCAGGTAAAGAGCCTGTTTTCATTGCTGGCAATTGTGCCCGTTCTAAGAATTCTTCTGTTTCTTCCTCTGGTATATGGCTAGGATCCCAAAGCATTTTATCCTCGTTTTCATAAGGCAAGGCATCATCGTATCGACAAAGACCTTCTGGTATTGCTGCTTGATAATCGCTACCAACCATGATTGTCTTTTTCCATTCTTCCTCGTCTGGGCTATAATCACAATCATCTTCTTCTTCTTCACTTTGTGGTCGTGATACACTTCGTAAAAGTCTTGATGTACCACCACCAATACTACCACTAACTAGTCCATCTTCTCCTCCGTCTGCAGCAACAGCACCAACACTGTTACCTTCTCCATCATTGCCACCATTACCTGTTGAGCAACCATCACGTGATCCAATAACAGAACAGGAAGAATTTCTACTTCCAGTTGCTTGCATTACTCCTGTACTTCCATTGTCACTGCGATCATTTATCAATGGACACTCTTCTCCTTCTACTTCTTCGTCATCGTCCTCTTCATCATCAAGTCTATGTCTTTTAGCACAATCAGTGGTATTTACACTGTTACTTCCTTTTCCTGTGTGTCCTGATACAGAGGATTTGCAATCTTTGCTTTTCACCAACATTTCAGTATAAAATTGTTTAAGATCAGGTTCGTTGCTAGTTGCATCAGCTTCGTCGTCATCGTCGTCATCATCCGCATCATTGTCACCTTTGTCCGAATACCGATCCTCACCTTCTGGATCATCGTTTCCAGTTGGAAGTAACATTTGATCTGAGCTATTCGAATTCTCAGTAGAGGGATCTCCGTATCCATACATCGCAAGCAGATCTTTCAGAGGCATATCACCTTCCTGAAAGAAGATAAAAAGATGAATGATTATTACACCAACCCAAAGCTGTATATTATGCATGAAATCTCACTACAAGAACGCACTTTGAGTCCAAAGTGTTGTAGAAACTTATCATAATTGTAATTATTTATTGGCTTGATTTTTTCATTTCACAGGCTTGATCCTAGAATAGTTGGGATCAGACGTTTGTTACAAAGTATAAGTACAAAGATATAATTATAAAGTATTAATAAGAAATAGTAAACGATTATACCTTTTGTAAATTGGACAACTCGTTGTGCGAATCCTCACTACCTTCTAAGGCTTCTTCCTCGTCTAGTGTACGCTCATCATCAAAATCATTTACCATCATCTCCGTGGCAGGACCCATGTCAAAATCTCTGTCTGCCCTATAAAATCACAGATTCTTTTATAATTAACACAAAAATTAATATTAATAACTGTTAATAAAATTTACTTATGTACTTGTAATACGAATATTTAATCAACATACTTACATGTCTTGAGTAATTATGTTAGCGAAGACAGGACACTGCACCAGTATTGTAAGAAACCATTAGCATACAAACGATTTACCTTCGAAAACTTGACATAATGCACTAAACTTGATACTTAGCATAAAATTTAATATTACACTATCATTCTTTCATCTATTGTCTAATACAATAGTCAGCTGTACTATGTACAACTTGTATATACTTAAAACAACGCGAACCTAACCTCCAATTGTCATAGTATTTTCGTTTTGTTCTTGTTCGTGTGTTGTAATTCTTTCCATGAAAAAATTAATAATAACAAAGTAAGACTCAACATTATTTATTTTTTATACATCATTTTTCGTCAAATCTTTATAGCTAAATTTATCGAATTTATATACAACTCAAACTTCTAGTGTAGCGAACATTAGTCAACAAAGTATTAATTAACCCGATTTATTCTACAAATTTTTAATACACAATTGCACACAATATAAAATAATATTTGACAAAATTTATACAAACAGCTTTACGAAAAATACATATGTGAAAAAGTTTAAAGATGTACACCCCATTATTTATATCCACGCATGTAATATGGTGGCGCGTACCGCGATATTATAATATAGAAGAACAATTTTCACTGAGCGGGAAAATCGTGATCATCTTTTACACACACACACACATAATGACCAATAAAAATAATCTTTTCCTCTTTAAAAATACCTTCATAATTACTTTTTAATTGGTATCTTTTATTTTTATCGAATATTAAATCGATATTTAATTTCTAATGTCAAAATAAAAATTTTGTGAAATTAATATTAAATATATTTAATATTAATGTAAAATATATAGCTGACCTTAATATTAACATTGAGATTAAATATGATAATAATCACTAATGAAAATGAACTTTAAAAGATGATTACATTTGATTAGTCTTATCTAGAATTTTTATCTTTGTATTTTGCAATAACTTGACATATCACTAACGAAACTCATCGGGATATCATTTTGATTTCTGTTTCGTTTATCGAAAATTACGTAAATTATGTTTCGTTTGGCAGTAAACGCATATAACACACACAAAATATCGGTTAATAAAATTATTATTTATTATTCAATAAAAATATATTAATAAATATAATTGAGTTTAATACTAATTGTTTGTTCTTTTTCAGGTTAATTATGTAGGAACACGATTTTCGTTATATAGTATAAGGTAATCATAGATCACAAATATCGACCATATCGATCATTAATATTGTCGAATCTGTAATATAATTGATAAAAATACACATACGTGTCTTATACTTAATGCATTTATATATATACACGCACGCGCGCGCGCACACACACACACTCTATTCACAACAGCAGTGAACATAGTAGAATAAATATTTACGTTAGAAATATTTATTTTTATACAATAGTCTTTTCTGCTATAATTACACATAAAAACTTATTTTATGTTTACTTATAGAAAATATATAAATGCATACAGTGAATCATAGGAATATTCTGTCAATTTAAAACAATAAATATTTTCTTCTAAAGTAGTTCTAAATTCTTATATACAGAAAAATATATTTTATAATTATATAATTTATTAATTAATATAAATTTTGTATTGTGAAAGAGCATCTCATAAGAGTATAAGTAATCATCTCAAAATTATTATAAAATACAAAGAAGGTCCAGCAAACTACTACTTACAAAACTAATTATTGTATTATTACTATATCTTTTGTAGATACAAATATTCTTGTGAGACCAATTTTTGATCATTTAAGTGAAATTATATTTTATTAAAAAAATATTCTTCTGCAATAAAATTGATATTAATTTCGAAGTTTAGTAACCCTAAAATGGGATTCTATGTAGAAGAATTTGGAAGCTTTGCATTACAAGCAAATGTTAAATATTTCAAATTTACAGTAGGAACAAGTACAAATACTCATGTAATTCACTGTAGTTTATACCGTTTAATTATTTTCAGGAACACACTATCATCATATACGTCAGATGAATATCAATACATACAGATGAGTAAAGTTCCAACCATGCATTTTCAACCATCCTTACCTCGTTTACCAATTCCTAAGCTTGAAAATTCATGTCAAAAGTATTTAAATGCACAGCGACCTCTTATAAATGAAGAAAAATTCAGCAATACTGAGTCTCTGGTTACATGCTTTCTTAATGAAGATGGACCCAAATTACAAAAAGAGCTTATTCAAAAAGATTCTAAGAATCGCCATACAAGTTATATTAATGAACCTTGGTTTAATATGTATTTGAAAGACCGTAAACCATTACCCATTAATTATAATCCTTTTCTAGTATTTTTGCCAGAGACTGATACACGATACAATGATCAGTTGGTTAGATCTACTAATCTTGTTGTATCTTCATTAAGATTTATGAAATCCTTAAGAAAAGAAATTTTAATACCAGAAATATATCACATGAATCCTAAAAAATCAGATACTGAGCTCTTTACAAAAGTTACAGGATTACTTCCTTCTAGTATAAGTTGGTATGGTGCTTATTTGTTTAAGGTAAGAAAATATAAATAAAGTTTGATCAACAGCAAACATTTTACAGATATGATTACCAAAAATATTAACAAATAATAACTGTATGGAATACATTCAGTTATATATTTTCTTAAGCTGTTAGAAGAAGAAATTATTCTCGCAGGCTTTTCCATTGGATATGTCACAATATCATCATCTCTTCAATACAAGTAGGATACCGGAACAAGGAAAAGATAAAATTTATCACGATGCTAAAGGACGTCATCTAATTGTGATGCGTAAAGGTCATTTCTATGCATTTGATGTTTTGGATGAGAATGACTATATTCGACAACCTAGTGAAATAGCTGCTTCTTTAAAATTAATTTTGGAAGATGACAAGCCTTACAATACATATCCTATTGGCGTATTAACAACATCAGAACGCAATAAATGGGCTTCTGCTAGACTACATTTAATAAATATAGGAAATGAAAATAATTTAAAAAAAATAGATTCAGCTTTATTTACTTTGATATTGGATGATAATCATATCGGTGATGATTACAACAAATTATTCAAAACATACCTTCATGGTGATGGAACAAATCGTTGGTTTGATAAATCTTTCTGTTTAATTGTTACAAAAGATGGATATGCTGGTTTGAATTTTGAACATTCTTGGGGAGATGGAGTATCAGTTCTTAGATATTTCAATGTAAGATACTAAGGATGAAAATTAATATAAATTTTTATTTATACTGATATGAAATATTTTATGTAAGAAAATAGAAATTTTAATAGTTTTTTATTGTTGCAGGATATACAAGCAGATATGTCAAAAAAACCAAGATTTCATCCTGAAAATGTGAAAGATCTTTCTACTAGGCATCTTTTAAAAGTTGAGAAACTTGAATTTGCATTGGATTCAAAAATTAAACACATTATTGACGAAGAACGAAAAAATTATGAAATGTGGGTAAAGCAATTACTTTTCAGTCATATTATATATGAAGGATTGGGTAAAAACGAATGTAAAAAAATAGGGATTAGTACAGATGCAATAATGCAATTGGCATTTCAATTAGCATTCTATGAACAGGAAGGTCAAGTGGTACCGACTTATGAATCTTGTAGTACAGCAGCTTTTAAACATGGGCGCACAGAAACTATTAGATCATGCACATCCCAAACTAAAGCTGCTTGTGTAGCTTTAACACAGAAAAATATTGATATTTCTACTGCAGAACTGAAAAAACTGATTTTTGATTGTAGTCTTATACACAATAAACTTATAAAAGAAGCTGCCATGGGTAAGTTCAATTAATTCTTAATTTTTTAATATCCTTTTATAAAGTTATAAAAATCATTTTTCGATATATTATTATTATTATACTATTACAGGACAAGGATTTGATAGACATTTATTTAGCTTAAAATCAATTTCTGAAGAATCAGGTACACGTATGCCTGCTATATTTGAAGATCCATCATACAATAATTTAAACCATAATATATTGTCTACATCTACTTTATCAAGTCCTGCAATACTTTGCGGTGGTTTTGGGCCTGTCGTAAATGATGGATATGGAATTGGGTAAATTAATATTTTATAAATTCCAAGATACACATAATATTATAAGGATATTAAAAGTTAAATTCTTCCAAATGTGAAATTAGAATATTTTTTCTACAAGAAACAATAATATATTTTTTAGGTACATGATACAAGATAATATGGTAGGAACTATAACTACTGGTTATCAAGGTAATCGTAATGTCAGTGATTATGCAAAAAGCTTAGAGAATGCACTGACAAAAATTCATAGACTATTAATAAGTAAATAATATAAAATTCTATAACATATGCAAATGTGTTATAAGTAAATTTTATATATTAAGACCAAATTAAATGTTGTTTATGAAGTATATAATACACAAATTTCATCACTATTTTTTGTATTTTACATTTAACATATTTGTGATACTTTTATACATCTAAATTATTCATATTTTACATGATATTGAATAAATATTTGTTTACTCTTTTTATGAGTGTTAATTCACCCTCTAACTTTTGCTTAATGATAAAATAAATTCCATCATTTTCAAACATTACAATATCTATTAGATTAAAAAATGTTATAAAGAAACAGAATTTTTTATGATTAACGAAATTTTCGAATTCATATTCATTATTATCATGAACACAAATGCGACTGGGAAATGAGCACTTTATATACACTAAATTATACATCAATTAAAGAATTATAACTTAAATTATTATTATAATATATACTTTAAACTACAATAATAAGTGTGACAATGCTAAATACTTAGCAATGCACAGGAAGTTGTCAAACATTTGAAATGTTTATTCACAAATAGTCTTATGTATATGTTACACGAAGTTATATTTTATGTGCATCATCTATGAAACATTTTGGTATCCATTGATAATATTAAAGAAGTCTGCATTTCTACATTTGTTTACTTAATGATGATAAAATATGGAATGAAACATGACGAACCACAATGTATTGTTTCATGCATTATTTTAATAAATGCATTTATGCCTTGTTCCCCATTTTTACTTTTGAAGTCTATGGAAATAAAAAGAATATATAATCTATAAACAATAATACAATAATATTGAATTAATAATTTTATTCAATTATTACTTACCATATAAATACCCACAATGAGTCCAAAAAGACCTATAGCTGATCCAAATATTTCAACTATAAGAATTTTAACAAAAAGTGCAGAATTAGCTGCATCAGCTAATGCCGCACCAGAACCAACAATGCCTACAGCTATGCCGCAAAAAAGATTAACAAGACCTACAGCAAGTCCTGCTCCAAACATTAAATAACCTGCCAGCCAATTCTGACTTTTCACATCTAAACCATCAGGTGAATTAACTTTTTCATAAGTAAATTCTTCAAGCATACCAGACAATACTATAGCAGTAATCAAACCATAAATAGCTACTGCTTCACAAAATATCACAGAAATTAAATTTTTGGTCTTTATTCTAGGTGCTTTAACACCACCACCGATAATAGATACTCCTGTTGTATGGATGCCTCTAAAATAGAATAATAAATTTATAGTAAAGTTAGTCTTATTTTTTAATACAAAAATATATTTTATAAACTTACAATGCTGCACCAACAACAGATAATGCAACTGCAAGTCCAATACCTAAGGTAGCCCACATATATGGTGATGTTTTTTCCAAAAACCTAAATAATGAAAATACTTATAATATCGTTTAGTTGAACTAAATTATAAAGGTCTTGTTTCATAACTTACCATGCAACACTGACACGTTCTCCTTTACCAGTAAATACATGATACAACACTGTAACGAGAGTTAAAATTTAATTTTACACGCTTAAACTATTTATAATATTTCAGTACTATTATATAATCATATATGTATTTAAAAGAATGGTAAATATTATAAAATTATTTATTATGAAAAAATTTTAGACACGTACCTAAAATTACGATTGTAATAGAAGAAGTAATTGCAAAAGTGGTACCCAATATACTTCGCATTTGAGCCATTTTATTAATTTAAAAAGAATCTTGTTCTTTACACTAAGTGATGATAATCAATAAATTTTACAAAGAAATAATATTAATTTATAAACACTAAAGAAATAGATACTTCATATACTGATATATTCAGAAAAACGCACACACACCCATCATCATGTGACTGACTACTCTGTGCTGCTGATCAGGGGGGGGATTAAAGTAAGATTTTAGTTATGTTGTCCCAGAATTGTCATCCAGGTAAAACAGACAGTTTCTGTTAAGCACTATCTTCCGGCTTAAAAGTATACTAAAACAAATAGCAGTAGCTCCAGCTAGTGTAATTAAACAGAACTGATTTATTTAAAGGTACGTATGCGCACGCGTGATAATGACGTCACGATTCGTATTAATAGCTAATTATATTTTATATAAATGTTGTACTTTGTTTATAATAAATTCATAAATAATAATTTTATTTTTAATCTATATCTTGTCTCTCACAATAAGTGAAAAATGTGCAACTTTAAATAAGCTTATATATTTATAAAATGTATTGCGCGCGCACAGATGTGTAACCTATAGTGTATGAATATACAAGAAATAACCAATGAAAAACGAAGATAGATTTAATATACAATATGACGTCAGTGTATAGCATTTTGATTCGCTGAGGCGTGTACGTTACGATGTATACTTTTATGTAAAGAAGACACATGATAGTATAGCTTTGAGATAATTGGTTAAGAATTTCTAAGCTCAGAACCAATGAGATTGTTCGAGCCAGTAGAGCCACGGGTACGCTCAATAAAGGGCGCTAGTGTCTGTCAAGTGTCACAGCCGTTCCCTGTCTCCTCAGTATTGTGACTTAAATCGGTGATTTAATTAGGAATAACCGTATTTTTTTCTAGAATTTGTGCAAACTTTAAGCAATAATGACCGACAAGAAAGGTAACTATACGCCGTAATCGCGCAGTACGATTAGCGATATGTGTTACATTCGTTAAGATTATCCCGTGTTTTCGAGTCGCGAGTAACAACTTGTCACTCGTATGACGGAAAGTTTCTTATACCAGCGATGCCGACCGACACCTGCGAGACACGGTGTACGTTCGATTGTATTAGAGCTCGTATTGTTGTTACGTGATCGGATCACCGTCGTGCATCGACGAGAAAAAACTCAATTCTCTCTGTCTTTAGTGACAGATAAATCAATACCGCATACTGTGTGTGAGAAATACAAAATGGCCTCCAGAGTTTGTCCCGGATTATTCTTGCTTTATATTTTTATTTCCAAAATTTCATTTGCCACGAATATAGATTAGATTTCTTATTATAATGAAAATATAAAAGGATTAGCGGGCTGAAATGATTTAATGCGACTTTGTCGATGTCCTTCTCGTTAAGCAAATGATAATATATATTAAACGTGCAGCATGCATCTGCATTTACGAATTATATACGCTCTACAGGTTTTTGACAATTTTGTCTAATAGTACGCCATTAACCATTTCTTTCCGAGAAAATTATCCAAAATAAATGATTTTTTTTTTAGAAAGTTAACGTATATTATATTGCGATAAAGTAAATTCATTTTTTAATGGGTGGGGGGGGGGAAAGGAAAATCTTATTAAATTATATATCTAAAAGCAATATCGGATCAATTTGGAACTTTAAAAAACTATCATCTTGGTATTTAAAAAGATAAATGACGTTATGAAATCTAACATTATAACTAAAAAAAAGTATCTTTATGGTTTTTTTTAGTAAATATTCATATAAAACTGATAGTATTATTATTAAAAAATTGTCTAAATAAATTTTACAATATTACGTTCATATAAATTTTATAACTTATTGTATGTTATATAAATTCTAATGCAAATATAATCTATATATATATATATATATATACACATCTCTATATATATATATATATAGAGTATATATATATATACACACGCGCGCGCGTGTATATATAAGAAGTATGCTTATGTAGGATACATAGAAAGAAAAAGAGAGAAAGAATAAAAGAAATTTGATCACCAAAGTCTTTATTTATCTAAATTACATATCTCTGGAAGTCATTTAATTGTAATTTTTCTGTAATTATATATATAAAAGATAAATATTAATAATTATATGAGTTTTTTAATATGAATTTCAAATTTGTGTTAAAAACAGTTAAAAAACAAAATTCATTCAAAATTTGCATGTTATTAATATACATAGTTTGCATATTTCATTACAAAGACTAAGAATATAATATCAGTTAATTAAATCAAAAAGTAATATCGTATTACTTTATCAAAAAATATATCTGCTGTATGTATGAAATAAGTTAATCACAAAAACACAAATACATTGATCTTGATGTCACTAGAGGGAGCAGAATAATCATAAATTAGTAATTTTGTTTGAAACGCAAATTTTTTTAATATCCATAACATTATTGAAAGTACTCTGTCAACTCTTTAAGTTTTCAATCGATTTAAAACCTTTGAGTTTAATTAATCTCTATGCATGTTACTTTTGTCACAAGCGCCATCCCTAATCAGTGCATCACCAACATAATAATTTTGTGCAGATTAAGTATTTAATTTGTCGTTACAAGCTCATATAAGATTTGAAAGAAAATACTCATTCGACATACAACTCAAATAATCATAAATTTAATTGTATTTACCCCGTGTCGACCTTTGATGAGGAAGAACTTAAACACTCAAACTGATACTTCGTTACACCAAATCTTATCTTATCGTTAACCAGGTGAAGTGTCAGAAAGTATAGCTTTAAGGATATATAAAGCTTAGTCTGTAAGTTAAAGAAAATGGTATGGCCCTTTGCGATACTCCTTTTGTAATATTGAGTATCAAGGATACGCTGCCTGCAAATCTGCGACCTTATTACCGTGATGGTATAGCTACTGAAACGAAGAATAGTGCCTACAGTTGTGGCTGTCAATATGTTTGCAGCGGACCATTACAAAGACGATTTGATCCCAGTCAGTAGGTGGAGCTTCGGGACCGGCGTTCGCGCAGCTTAAGCCACGTATCTAACCTCACCTTACTTAATATATTACCTTAAATCACTACGTGTTTATATACCAACATATATTAAGTATATTACATATATATATATACTCACACTTATATGCATATCTACATGCAATATATACACACACATATACACAAAACACGAATACCACTTAATATATATATATATATATGAAGATATAGACGCGCCGTGCGCCTCCTGATTCAAAAAGTGATGAGAAATGAAACATAACTTCCGTTTCCGGCCCGGGTTTCCCCGCCTATGATCGTCAGGAATTCGTTACTCGTGTCTTTAAAAGTCTCGAGAAAACGGATGGCCCTTAAGATCTGCGACAGTCCGGGTAATTCGCAATCATGTGTTAGGATCATTTCGAGATAATAAGGCTTGGTCGCATCGCTTCTGCTTAGCACTTTAAGTACCACTTTAGCTAGTAATCGTTCTATTCATATTATCACCTTCAATCTCGATTTTATCTTTTACAAGAATAAACTTATTCGTCAGATAGTTCACGTTGGTCGTGATATCTACCAATGAGGTAAACTTCATTATTGGAGTTTGCTTTTGATGATTCCATTAACTCACCCTTGAGTTATGTTTTCTTATATTTATTTTTTTAATTTAAGAATAAAAGTATAGCATCGTGGATATAATATTTTATATAAGATTTAAATTATAACAATTGTCTTACAATTACTTCAACTCTTATACTTCTTTAATAATATATTATTTTCTTACTTGCTATCATTGATATTTTGTTTATAAAGCATTATTATGTAAATGTATTTGAGTAAATGGAACTGTTTATTTATATATTAAGTGGTACTTATCTCACTGTATAGTGATCATCGACCGATCAACGATCAATTGCTACGTGGAAGGGATGTATCCATGCCTATGATTGACTTTTTTCCCACTAATTTCATCATCGTTTATTCCAGGCAATACACGTCAATAAAAAAGACGCACGATCAACCGGTATCGAGGATCGAGAGAATTTCCCACGTGTAACGAAAAAAATTCGTTGAATGGCCGAGGCACGGAAGTAAAGATATTCCTTCCGTGATTTAATGGTAGAGCATAAATAGTTCTCGATGATAGGATTGCGACGCGTGCTTTTGTCAGGATGCGAAATTAAGATAGGCAAAAGATCACTTTTAGGATCTCACACTATCACCGGCGTATTTGTAAGTTTTTTGAGAATGCGTTTAAACGTGACCGAGTAAAATACTTTTTGAATTGGAGACGTCGGCTGCTATATATCCAAATCAATATGAACGTAAGATATTGATATGGGTGTACCAATATTTCGTACTGAAAACGTGGTATTGGCTGATTGCTTAATTTATACTTTTTTGTCTTTTCGTTTTACTTTTTTTCTTTTAACTTATTTTTTTCTACAGTGTCCGCCGTGTCCAAACGAGCGTGCACAATATGATCTTCATTCGAATCGATTTTATCAATTAAATCATGGGTAACGTTAAATAATAATAATAATAATAATAATATTAATAATAATAATAGTAATAGGAATAATAATAATAATGATGATTACAATGTTTTTGATGATGATGATAATGATAATAATAATACTAATAGTAATAATGATGATTATGATTATGATAATGATGATGATGATGATGATGATGATGATGATGATGATGATGATGATGATGATGATTATGAAGATCATGATGATGATTACGGTCTAGAGATGGGAGGAGAGAGAAAAACAAAAAATGTTAAAAATCTGAGATTAATCACGCGATTAAGACACGGCGTGACACCAGGGTGGACACGAATGCTGTATCTAAAAGCTCAGCGTATATTTATAATATTTCTACTTGATAGAAACTTTGTAGCTCACTTTTAACAATAGTGCATGTTGCTTTTTATCTCGGGCTACAAGTTTCTCGACATTATAAAAAAAAAAAAAAAAAAAAAAAAAAAAAAAAAAAAAAAAAAAAAAAAAAAAAAAAATTAACAATATGAAAGAAAGAAAAAAAATTAGCATTTGCTCTCTCATGTGATTCTACGTGTAATTTGTTAAATATTTCTGTCTCCAAAGTATTAGTAAAATGAAATTAAAACCAATAAATGTTTTTCGCGTGGGAGATTTAAATCATAATTTGCTATCTAACGAAACTTGTGGTCGATCTTGCACGTTTGTAGTTTAAAAGATTATTCTTCATTCGAGAATAGTAGAAGATACTTAGTTCTTTCTATACTATTATATAATTATTAAATCGTTTGAGTATATATACTGTGTATATATACATACCTATATATATATATATATATATATATATATATATATGTATTTATGTGTTTATGTATATATATATATATATATATATATATATATATATATATATATATGTATTTATGTGTTTATGTATATATATACATACATACATACATATGTATATCTACGTATTTATCTTTCGTAGACATAATTATAATAGTAATTTTTTAATAAGAATAAATTTTAAAAGAAAAACGTAATATCATGATCGCTTAAAGATTGAGTAAATGAAGAATAAAAAGAGAGGGAGAGAGAGAGAGAGAGAGAGAGAGAGGGAGAGGGAGAGGGAGAAAGAGAAAGAAACAAATATAAAAAAGATATAATAAAAAAGAAAAAATTATTTGAATTTGTGCTTATATAGTTGACAAAGAAAGACAAAGAATAAAAGTGAGAGGGTGGGTATCTCTAGGCGTGTGGAAGCGTGGAATTATACATAATATACAAACGATAACGTCGAGTGAAATTACGTTTGCCTGCATCAATCGGTTAATGTGCAAGTATAGCTTTAATGATTTTTACGTATTTGTATTTTAGTTTGCATGTTTGGAACGTAATGTAGAGATAGTATGTATATATATATATATATATATATATATATATATATATATATACATACATTTGAACGGGTGAACAAGCGTCATTAAATAAATTGCAATGAGAATCATCGAAAATTTCTTTAATCTTTTTTCGTTTGCAAAGAAATAAAAGAATATTAATAACAATTTATTCTATAAAAAAAAAAACCGAAAACGCTTGGACACTTATATATTTGATATGTTGCTATATTTATTATGCATGCTTTTGGTATATTATATATGTTAGAAATTTCCTCTGAATTCATTCTCTCCAATATTAAAAACAAAAATAAAGAAATGAAACCATTTTCTGTACCAATATAAGATAATTTGATTAATTAATTGTTTTGTAATTATCAATATTAAGAGATTCTGGATCTTCGACGAAATATTCGCTTTCTTTTTTTTTTTACAAATGGAGAGATCGTATGAGGACATTTTTACGATATTTTGAATGAACTTTTTGTATTATAATCAAATAGTTTTATAGTTAATCTAAATTATTTCCAAGAGATCTTCCTATTCCTTTCGGTTGTTCGCCGTATATATATATTAAAACGATTATTTTAATTTAAGATTTACGAAATATATCTAGAAAAATTCATAAATTGTTTCGCCTGTTCCTTCATTTTTGTTTCGCGTTTAATTTTCTAGACAGAAAGAGAAAAAAAAAGAAGACAGAAAAAGAAAGAAGGAATGAGAGAGAAAAATATAAAAAATAAATTTATCGGGACATCGTGATTAGGATCATAGGAATTTCTCTCACAAATTTTTATTTGCATGTGCATGTGTTGGCAGACACTATACCATGTATACTGTTAATAGTGAGCTTAAATGATATAATGTTTTATGAAACTAGTCGAAAGTTTGAGGGTGTTAATGCCTCCATTTTTAAGAAACGAGTAATGGTACGAAAGATGGAAGTTCTCGACCTTAAATACGAGTAGAAATCTTACAATTATTCGATACTTACAAACGTGATTTAATATTATATGATTATTTTATATAAATATTATCTACTATTTAACTCTTTATAATATATATATATATATATTTTGTGTAGATAGAAGTTATATTTGGAGGTAAAAACAATTTATCTCTCATACCGGTAACTCGATTTTGACTTTGGAGGCACGACTGTTCCACCGAAGCATTTCGATAAATTATCGTTGTTAACAAAAAAAAAAAAACAGATGGACTACAAATGTTATTTATTATCGATGGCAGTGTCGAAATATTGCTCATCTTTGTTTTTTTTTTTACATTACGTTTATCGAAAAGAAAAGAAAAAAAAAAAGAAAAGAAAAATAGCAAGAGAAATTAATAATACGAAAATCCTTCCATTTGGCTCTGACGCGAACTGGGTCGAATATGCTCATTGGGACAAATTGAGGTAGAGAGAAAGAAAAAGAGTTAAAGGCAGAGGGAAGGTGGGAAAGGAAAAGAAAAGAGAGAGAGGGGGGGTAGAAAGAGAGGAAGAAAGACAAAGACAGACAGACAGAAAAAAGAGAGAGTGAGAGAAAAAGAGAGAACAGGACATTTTTCAAGTTTATCCAGTAAAACTCGTATTAGCATTAATATTATAATCAATTGTTATTGGATTCGATGATTGTTTGCACCGTGGCACTGATACATAAAACTTATTATTCTTTGAATGCCACTCCGATACGACCAATGGCGCAACGAGTGTGATGATAAATCTTACTTTGTGGTTTAACACTTTTTTAAATGTTTATGAGAAATCTAATCGTATATATTTACGCGAGCGGGGGCATGCATGAAGAAAAATAAAAAGATAAAATAATGAGCAATGATTATTTGCGAATAAAAAAAAATTACAAAAACGTGGGAGGATCGCAGAAAAAAATGACATAATAACAGCGCTCGTATCCATGCTCAGTAATGGAGCGGCATTCAATTACCATGGAAAATTTGGTGTGGGCTGACGTCTATGTTAGAGTACAACATGTCCATCCACTGCTGCTGAGCTTGAGCTAGTTATCATACGCAAGTTGTATCGTCCAATTAAAAAATCTATTCTATTTTTGTCCCCTTTCTATCATTTTTGTGAACTAAACTATTAAAAATTATTTAAAAAAAAATGAAAGGAATTAACACACCAATTGAGTAAAAAATAAATAAATAAAAACTTATTAAAATAATTTGATAATATATATATAAAATTTTTACTAATCAATATA